AGCGAAACTTTTTCGCTGCGGGAACCACGACTGGTCAATCATGCGGTGCTATGTGAGTTTGGGTGTGGATTCACTAGGACTGAAAGCGACTTTTTTTCGCGTTTCGCGCGCGAAACGCGAAAATGTCGCTTTCTGTCCTAGTGAACCACACCCGTGTCTACTTCTGGTATGAGCAACCGCTGTATGATTGACAGTGGACCAGAATTTTTGATCAAATACGGTACCCTCAATGGTCCTTCCCCCTCAATCAGTTCACACAAACACGGAACTGATTACTTTAGGTGCAAGTTCGTAAGCCGGGTGAAAGGATAATTTCAGGAGCGTATAAGCCGCTAATCATGAACGAAAGTTGGAATGCAGAAAAAGTGAAATGTGTGAGGAGAGGTAGATCAGGTAAATGTAGTTTTTTCGTCGGGAGAACCCAGAGACGGAAGCGGAAAATGGGCGGTTTGCGCGCCAAATCTAAATCGATTTCAAATCATCCGTAGTCGTGTAAAGTCGCCGGTCGTCCCACTGTTCTATATCTGGAATTAATCACTCCTTCAAGTGTCCTGCTCACGAATATGGCCATAAAGTCGGAGCTAGGAAGCGCCTCGAATCCCATCATCTTAGGACTTTCGCCAACTGGGAGAGCTACGAGAGGAAAAAGAAAGGTTTTCTGTAACACTGCTGTACAGGTAATTCAGTTTCTTGTCTTGTCAGGTATCATTCAAGATGTTTCATTTTTTCAGGTGGGTGAAAGTGACCCTGTTCAAAGTACTGCTGATGAGCGAGAATCCAGACAGGTGGGTTGACAGAATGCGATGACTAACCTCACGCTTTTCATAAATGAAATATTTAACGAATGAACGCTCAGTGAAAAAGGAAACATCTTAAGATTGATGTGAAAAGACTTATCTAGTTTTTACCTTTAGGAATCTGATCCGTGTGCTGTTTGGATCCTGAGTAACCTCGAACCGCTCCTATCGTGCAGCATCTGCACCGAGATCTTCTATAAAGCAGTGAAGTGAGTGTGACAGACTTCCAGTAATTGGCGTGATTATTTATTGTATTGTGGCATGCGATAGTTCTTGATTGGTTAGCGGTTATAATAGCACATTCAAGTGACACTCATCTCCCGATAGTCATCACCGAAGTATACTTACGGGAAGTTCAATGTCTTTGGAACCATTGATTGGAGATCCGATTGAGACGATCGAGTTTGGAAATATGATCCACAATGTCGGAATTAAAGGATTGGGAATAATTACCAGGAATTTATGGAAGATGGTCAATCGTGATTGTTAATGATTGACTTTGGTGTAATGGTACTCGATAAAAAGCCCTTAAGTCGAGGCGATACGTTCCACTCAATGAACGATGTGGAATCTGAGAACAGCATGGGACGAGCATATGGAATGCAAAAGTTTTTTAATTCAGAATGATCTTTGTTTAGGATAGGTGATCTGGGGTTTAGTAGCAGTTTTGAACCTATATTGTGGATCACGTTCAGGCTGGTATGCGATTGCAGTAGTCTACATTTGTAAGAATGCTGGAGGAGCTTTCTGTTAGAAGTTACTGGTGGAGTTTTTTTGGCATCGCAATAAAAAAAAAGTTTTGGTTTGTGGAAAAAAACGAGCTGTACTTTCGACATAAAGTATTTTTATCATTCTTCAAACGTCCCTTTGGTTTGCAAATTGGCCATTCTGCCATGATGATATGATTTTGCTGCCAAAGTCGTCAATTCACCATCTCATATTCGTACCTCTTGAACTTTTCCGAAGTCGTCTGCCAGTTAGACTGTGCGTCATCTATCTGGTGAAGTTATAAATGAAGAACGATATGTACAGCGACTACGAAATGTATTGATTTTTTCCGTTGGACTTTGAAGTTGTGTTCCTCCATGTGCCTGACACATGCAATAAATAAATAAATAAATCTATGTTCTATTCGGTTTAAGAAGTTAGGATATAAAGTTTATAGAATAAATAGGGCTATCAATATAGGAGATACGATTTGTGTGAATCAATGGGTAGTATTGATAGTTGATGGACGTATATTAGTCTGTTTTGACCTAGTCGAAATTTTGTTCCGACATTTATTTTAGATGTACGCAGATTGGCCTACAGCCGTCGTTCGTTGAATATGTGGTCGAGTTGTATTCTTCATATATATCGGTATATCTTGAATGTGCAGTTTCTAGATTTCAGTATTTTTAAGCTCCCCCACTTTCTTCACGATTTGGGGCGCGGCCGCGGCAAGCCCGGCCGAGTATGCGCCATCAGCTTACCTGAGTATTCGACGTTACATACGTATCGCAATGTAACGTCGAATGCTCAGGCAAGCTGATGCCGTAATGTAACCCAGCCCCACCCCCCCCCCATCGAATTTACTCAGGGCAAGTGAATGGCGCATACTCGCCGGATGTTTCGCAGGCCGACGCCCCAATTCGTTGGAAGAAAGGGGGAGCTTTTTAAGTGAAAGATAAATATTTTGAAACTTCGTTACCATCCGAAAAAGACGTATATAGAAAATTTGCAAACACAACCCAGCATTCTTGTGAATCAATTGGCCTGTAGAGTTTTGCATCACATTGGTTTAGTGTTTACCTTTTCTACTGTGAGAGCGCTTCATTCGTGACGCACAATATTTTTAAATAAATAAAATAGAATAATGAACATAGCAGCATTAGGCCGACGTCATACTTTGCGAATCGCTCGATTCGCTAGCGATTCGCTCGATTCGCAAAGTATGACGTCGGCCTTACAGGTGACAAAAAAGGATTTGTATTTTAGTGTCGTTCCATGTGGTCATAACTTTTGTTTGTCCTGCCTCATGCAGTCATTGGTTCTAACAGAAAACGCACATTGTCCTCAGGTATGTTCTCTTCTTTGAATCTTGTAATTATGTGAGACTACCACAATGAGTCAGTGGAGTTCCATATCCTGGCTGCTCTTGAGATGATTCTCTGTTGGATCACTTCCACTCTTCTTCTTAATATAAGAAGTTCTCCATCAAATTGTTGAGCAGTAACAGTTTTCTGAGGGAAGCATTTTTTCCAAGTTATTCACGAATTAAAGCTGACGTCTGGTCAAATGAACGCAATGAATCCCGACATCTTCTTATCATATGACTTCTACATATTGCAGTGTCGGGAAGAGATTAAGGACGTGGGTCTGGATTACACGATTAACTCGATTGTGGATGTATTCCTTGAACAAAATCCAGGTATGCGTTTCTGTGATTGATCCCCTTTTATAGTTACTTTGAAAGCAACGGTAACGAAAATTTGAAGTCGATCAGGGGCGAGAGGCGATACGGCCTTCTGGCACAAAATGCACTTGCAAAATAATAATCAAGCGATAATGGTAAAGATGTCACAAAATTCAATAAGCATGCTCGTGGGCGGGGTGGTTCCGGAGGAGGCGGACCTTTCTATGTTTTGGGTTTCTGTGTTGCAACTGCTCGTCGTCGGCCGCGGGCTCCACACTTCGCTATCTTTGCCACCTTGCTAACGCTTTCACTGCTCAATATATTTTGCTGGCGCAGACGCACTTTGTCTTCATTGCCTTCAGCCTGGGTTCATACAATAGAGCCTGCGTAGCAAACGAAATTGTAGAAAACATAGAAGCTATGAATATCTAGTAAATTGTAATTTTTCACGTTATTCTTTTCCTTATTTCTTTTCAGGTAAAATCCGGCCCCTAGATGAACTCAAACTGCTTGATGATAAATTTATGGAGGCTGTCATGGCACTGAAGAGGATGGAAAGAAAGCGTCTAAGAGTAGTAGACCGAAATATTTGGGGAGCTCCCCAACAGAGAACTCGTGCTCCTAGTCGAGAACGAACAAGGGAAGTGCTTCGACGTAACATTCCAGCCTCTGTGAACGCAGGTATTATATATCGTATCTGTCTTGAGGGCGCGCTTGAGCGTCACATTCGATGGCGTTCATTCGCGTCTTAACACATAAGCAGCAGATTTCTCTTTTTGAAGGGCGCGCAAGAGAGGTAATTTCAAGTAACAGGCTAGGATCTTCATACCCGAGAAACCAGAGAGGTAGAACGCCGGTCCGGATACGCGCAGGAGTGGAAGATCTGAATATCAATGAAGTATCTCAGCAAAGATACTTAAGAACTACTCGAGGGCTCGCATGGTCAGGCGTTACTGGTAATCTCGGCGATCCATTCATTAACGATCTTCTAAATTACCATTTTAACATTCCAAGACATATCAGCGGCACGCAGTGGCCTTGAAATGGCCTGCGCAATTACCGCAGTTTTTGTGGAAACAAAAATATGGTGTATACTGACCTGCTTCGTAATGGGTCGATAATATAAGAGTCATTCTGAGCTGTTGCCTGAGATGTTGCCTTTGTCTGCTCTAATGCTCTCATATACGTGATTTTGTGAACCCAAGTAATTTAATCTATGTAAGATTCATTCAAATGTGATTTGCCTGTGATAAGATGCATGCTGCAATTCATGTGAATTTTTACAAATAACCTGTCAAATTCTTCAGCGTTTTCAGTGCCTGCATGAGGTTATACTTGCGTGATATATGACGCTTCATTATTTCCACTTATTTCTTTGGAAATTGGACTTTTTCCCCACATAACCTCTGTTTACATTGTGATGCTTGTGCGAAAGATGCTCTTTTTGAAAGATGCTCAGTAGTTGCTATTATTGATTCATAGGATCTGTTTGGATAAATATAAATATTACATGGCTTTGTAGCGCAACCTTGCAGTTGCCGTGTTCTACTACAGCAGCTTGAATGAGGTCAAGGAGGAGGGGAGGGAAAGAGATCCCGCAGACAAAGTGGAGGCAACTAACTCTATACTTTCAATATACTTTTAATACGTAGTCATAAGCATATTTTTAACTACGGCTCCATGAAAGCTGTACATTCAGAGAGGAATGATCCCGACAGATGGCTGTATCATCAGAACTGGCAGTAAGGCCGTGCTGGAAAGAGCTTGATGCCTATCCATTTGGGAAGTAATAACTCTGAGGGTTGCTGTTTTTTGTTCTCTTACCTGTTTGTAAGTTGCCCGGTAAGCTATGTCGTGGTTAATCCAAAGTTTTTATTGGTCTGATGCCGGTTCTTTCGAGTAACTATTATACATCCTACGGCAGCACACATGGGTCAACAGGCCCACCTCACGGCGAATAACAGGATCGCACAAGGATCGCTAGTAACTGTCCTGCTGCTGTAAGGCCGACGTCATACTTTGCGAATCTAGCGATTCGCTAGCGGATCGCTGGATTACGAGCGTTGCGCCAGCGAATAAAACGACTGGCACGAGCGAGCCCGCCAAGCCCGGCCACTTTTCAGAAAAATGGGTCACGGTCATGTAGCCACTTTTTGACGAGTGGGCCGGGCTTCCTTTGAAACGTAGGGTCCCGCCCGCTGTTGGATCGCTACAATCGTTCGACTCGCCCTGGCACATAGTTGGCTGCGCTGTGCATACGTCGCGATTGCTGGCGCAAACCGCTCAGCACAACGATTGTTGTAGTCAAATCGCTCACGATCAGCGAACTATGAACCGGCCTAATCATCTCAACTCATGAGGTTTAGCATATAACACATTTACGACATCGCGGATACATATTCCCGCACGTTCCCGCTAGAAACTCGCTTCGTTCTAAGCTCGTAACATCGTGTGTCTGTCATTTTCACCTTTAAGTTGTCCATAATACCTTATAGGCCAGAAACTTAGTAGACTTTCCAATGTCGGTAATTATTTCTTATGTATCATTTTCAATGGAAGATTCTTTGAGAGGCGTATCTTACTTGTTTAGGCGCGCCACGCGGCGGCGCGCACGTCTTTCTCCCTGGCCATGTTTCGGTAAATCCGTGGCCAGGGGGGGTGGGTTGACAGTACTTCACTGCGTGAAAGCTAGAATGTTCCGAGTTCTACAACTGATCTGCTCCGAGAGAAGCCGCAAGGCCCAGGTGAGCAGACTGCCGCGCCGCCGCGTGCCCCCCCCCCCCCCCCCCAACTAAAGTTAGCACCAAAAAAACGATAGGTACACGCACATTAAACTGTGGTCGTCAAGGAGTTAAAGGCTGGTGGCACGATAAATGTTGTGTTTAGAAAAGGGAAAATATATCCAGTATAGAAAATGTATTCCAAAAAGCAATATGTGGCACTTTTGCTTGCGGAGACCGCGCCTGAAGGCCTTGCTGAACCATTTCGACGCCCGCCCCTTTGTCCGCACACCTTCATTTGTCGTCGGACCCTAGCCGTCTTAGCAGAGAGGCAGAGCAGAGCGCTACGTCGATGACGGCAGCACCAATGTGACTCGCCCTTACCATTAGTTTTCTTCTCCACTGTACCCCTTTACCTCTTCTACCTTCCATTAGCATCGAAGAGCAACTTTCGTGCCATCCGCCTTTTGATATCGTTCCGAAAAAAAAACTCAAAACATGAGATTATTAAGGTCAAAAAGCAAAATCAAAAATAAAACACAACCAGGGATCAATGCCAATATTGAGATTAAGAAAGGCAAATACGAAGACTATTTCTACCCAATGTGACTGCTTTCTATGGTGGCTGGAAAAGAGCCGTAAAGCCATCGCACAGCAAAGCCCCGCGAACAACAGAAGCGTGGTGCGGTGATCCACGCCCAACTTTGCGAGTGACTGCCGTCTCTGTCTCGTTAATCTGAGGGGGGGGGGGGGCAATAAAAAAGGAGGCGCTATCGCAAGACACGGGGGCATTGTGGTGTCGGTGCATTTTGAACCACGTAAAGCATCTCATTTCGGTCGAAAAAAGGACTAGCCTCAGATGGAGAAGAATGGGCTCTAATTGGGTAGCTTCTTCTGTTTCCCCGATGTTCCTGCCCCCTCCTGAGCTTTAACCTAGAAGATGTCCCCGTATCTTGCGATAGCGCCGAACAAGACATTTTGTCGCACATACAAATGGATCCATTCACACTTCACTAAATTAAAGCGACTGCTCCCAACTTAGGATTGTAGAGCACATTTCATTTTGTGGAGAAAAAACCCCACGGTGACCTTCTTTATGAACGGCATCAGAAAATTTGCCCCGGAAACATGGTGCACTGGTCGAGCTCAATGGGGTCCTCGACGGATCGTGTACCACGACGTTTTCTTTAGAGTGGGTTTCGAGGGAGTTTGCATAATTACGGTAATGTCTCTAGGAAACTACCCGACACTGAATCGACTCGAAAAATTAGGTCGGAGCTGCAGGCTAGAGCAGTTACGATTGGTTTCCTTGAGCTTGAGATAGCAGCTACGTCATATTCCGAAGACGGTGAGAGCAGTGAAGGACTTGTGGGTTTGGGTCTACTAGTACAGGGACATTTGAGGAATGCTCTGCTGAAGAACTT